CTTTTTGTTTGTCAATTGTTTTTGGTGCTAAGGTCTCATGCTTGAGTAGGCTTTTCAATGTATTGATAGATTTGTATTAGGCTCTTCATAAGCATTGTCCAAAAGACTGCAATTATATGTGTTCGTAGAGAGGCAATGTACGTTGTCTCCAAGTAAAAGCTCTCTCAAGTCAAGTTGAAAATTAGTCAATATCTAGAGTTGTCAAAACGAGCTTAAGCCCGCGGGCCAGCCCGCCCCGGGTTGGGCCGGTGTGGTTACCTACCAATTTGGAGCGGTTTCGGATGCATATATCCAACTCAGAGGAGTGTGATTTTTGTGGTGGAAGTGAGTCTGTGCTGCATGTGTTAAGAGATTGTCCGTTTGTTAAGATTTGTTAGTTCGTTTGCTTCCCGTTATTCATGAACCTGATTCTTTCCAGCAGCCTTTAAAAATTTGGTTGCGCACGAATTAACCAAGTCACGGTTGGGAGTGTTTGAAAATTGGAGCAGCTTATTTTCAGTTGTTGAGTGGCGGTCGTCGAGCTGGAGGAACGACCGAATTTTCAACTAAAAAACCTCGAGTTGCGAGACACTTCGCTTGGAGGTTTTGAGCCGTGTTGATAATTATGCACGAGCTGCTGCAACGTTTGTGAAGGCAGGGGTTGATTTAAACCACTTTGTTACACAAATGATTCATTGATCTTTGTTGAATTCAGGGTGGATCAAAATAAATACCGATGTTGCCGTTGATAACTCCCATGGCTTGAGTAGTGTTGGAGGGCTCCTTCGGGACGATTTGGGTAGATGGATTGCGGGTTTCTCATAAATATTGAGTATTTTACCATTGCAGGTGATGAACTCTGGGGACTTTTTTAGGGGCTGCAGCTGGCATGGGACAAGGATTATCGTCAAGTTATAATGGAGGTCGATAGTCAATGCGTGGTGAATATGGTTCTTGGTACCAACTTTGGGGGTTCATGAAGTGCTAGTCAAGGCCATTAATTGCTTGGTTCAAATGTATTGGAGCATTACGATCCAACATGTGTACATAAAAATCAACTTTGCGGTTGATCGTATATCGAGCTTGGCGACCCCTTATTCGATTGGACTTCAGTTCATGTCTTCTTCTCCTTCCAAAATGGGAGCTTGACTTAGCATTATGTTATTGGGNAACTTAATTCTTAATTATATATTATAGAAAAAATATACTTTAAATGAATTATTATTGAAGTATTAATTAGGAATTAGCCCCTAGCTTTGCGTCGAGATTACCAAAAATAAAAAATGAAATCAATAATCCAACCTGTGAACTGATTGTCCAATATACATCATGTAAAACTATAACGGTCACCTGCTTTTCAAAAATAAATGCGAAAAAAAATCCCTAACCCCACCACCAAAAAGTCCAAAACTCGACCGTTTTACAGACTTCCTTTTCTGGCACTCTCTCTTTCTCTCCAGCTCCCAAGTTCCAACTCTCTCTCTCTCTCCTATTTCTGCACGCAGAAAGAGATGGAGGCGCTCGTGCGTGAACTCTAATTCATCCGAACTTGTAACAAAAAATCCTCTGAACCCTAGTAAGAACAAGCAAATCAGAGAGAAACTTTTTGGGATTTTTCTTCGCTGATAATGGGTTGTTTTCTTGGATGTTTTGGGGGGAAGAAGGATCAGAGGCGCCGGAGACGGAGGCTTAGTCGTGGCAGCCCCCAGAGACAAGTAAAAATCCCTTTCCTTAGCTTCGATTCTGACTTATGGCTGCGAGTTTTTTTCTTTTTTTTGTTAGTTTATTTACCTCTCTCTGTGTAAATGTGGGCGTTTGATTGTGAAGCTAATTTGTTAGCGACGGATATTTTAATGGTTTTAGGACTTCTCGGTCCCTTCTCCTTTTGTGTGTGTGTGTGTGTTTTTTTTCTTCTGATTTTTGGACTTGACAAGTAGCTTATATTGGGTTATGTTGAGTGTGTGTGCATCAGTGAGTTGATTGATTCTCTTTTTTGCTCCCTGATGCTGAAAAATTCAATTTTTATTTGTTCGTGCTGTCTTTGTATGTGTGTTCGAGCTGAGAATTTACGCAGAGAAAATCAACTCTTAACTCTTCTTTCTTTGTTCTATCAATTTTATTCTCAATTTACTTCTTAAGCTGCTTTGCAAAATGTGCTTTTATCTGGTTAGTAAGCTGTGAGATTTGATACAGTTAATTCTTTTTGATGTTGACAGTGATGATAAAACCTTTTATCTTTTCAATGCTATGTATTTTCTTTTTATGCCTGTACATTTTACTGTGTGCTAAACTATATGATTAAATTATTGTCACAGAGAAACCGAGTTGAGAATGTTCACCATGACAAAACAGTTTTATCAATCAAAGAGACAGTTACCATATCAGAACAACCAATCAAAGAGACTGTTACCATATCAGAACAACCGGCCAAAGAGTTGCAGTAAGCCCTCAATTCTTTATTATCAAACTATTTGGTTTGAAATTTTCCCCACAGCATAAGAACATTAAAAATTCATATCACCATACCTTTTTACATATCACTAACATATTTTGTATTCTTTACTGAGAATACCCATTCCCTAGCTTTCTCTAGCTTGTTTTGTTTCTAACAGAACCCCGATTTTCAATTTTCCTGTGTAGAAACAAAACCGAGGCAGTGGAGCAAAGAAGTCCGAGCTCGAGCCCAAGCCCAAGCCCAAAGAAAAGAGTTACGTTTAACTCGGATATCACGACATACGAGCACGTCCCGGTCCATGACAGCATCGAGTCTCTGCCCGAGTGCCCTGAAAATATCGAGAAGGAGAAAGAAGTACGTGAATGCTCGAAAACATCAAGCCAATCAAATTCTTCGGTATCGTCAGAAGCTAATTCCGTCATATCCAGCTTGTTTTCATATCCTCCAAGTCACAGGTATCACAATGCAAGGAACAGTGATGATGATGAAGCTGAGGAGTATGGTGATAGTGATTTGGACGATGATGGAGAATATGATGATGAAGATGATGGTTATGATGATGAATATGATGAGGATAATATTGATGCCAAAATGCCTGGCCATGACATTTGGTCTGAACCCGTTTTAACCCAAAAAAACCCATTTTCACTAGCTGTTGATGAAGAAGTAGAGAGTAAACCCATTTTCACTCGTGATAGAAGTGTTAATTCGGTGCTAAACCCTGTGGAGAATACTGCTCAGTGGAAAGTTGTGAAGTCAAAAGGGACTACTAATCTGTTGAGGCCTCCTCCTCAGAAGGAGAATTGCGAGCTGCCTTGTGTTTCTTTAAGCTCGGAACCAACTTTCAAGAACAAAACCGAGCAGTCGAGGAAAAACGGGAATCGAGAAGTGGCTGCTGTGGATGCGAGTCTCTCGAACTGGCTGTCGTCGCCCGAAGTCACGCCGCCTAAGAAGAAGACGAGTGATTTTGGTGGTTTTTTCGAGACGAGCATTTCTGGAAAGACTAATCTGTCTGAAGGGCGTAATTCTGTTAGGAGCTTTGAGGATCGGCCGATTTTAGGTGCACTGACGGTTGAGGAGTTGAGGCAGATTTCGGCAACTAACTCCCCTCGAAAGTCTCCTAGTCGAAGTCCGGATGAGATGCCCATTATAGGCAGTGTAGGGACATACTGGAATGACTCGAGTTCGAAAAAGCAATCTGATTATTCATCCTCTTTTAATAATGGGATACCAAACACAAGCAGCAAGTACAGGGAGGTAATTTTGAAATTAGAAGATGGGTTTTTTTTTTTTTTGGTTTAGTTTTTTTTTTTTACTTATACTGTTATTATAATTATGCAGGATAAGAGAGTTAATTGGAACTCTATGCCTTTTGAGGCAAGACTGGAGAGTGCTCTGCTGAGTCAAGGTGCATCATAGTGGAGTTTGTTATATGTGATTTTGGCTTTATGATAATCTTTGTTTTGTTTGCCATGAGAGAGAAGATTTGTTGCTGTTTGTGAATTTCTGCTGGGAGTTTTATGCATATTTTAATTGATTCTTTTTCTTGTACCATTTGACATTGTGTGTGTAATGCTTGGCTTGTGAAATGTGTGTACACCGTTGTGTATTGGTTTGTTTATCAAGACATGTATATTGCATTTTGGTTTGACTTATTCTGATGTGTAGTAAGCAAGTCTTGTTCTCTTCTAGTCATCATTAATCCTTCTAAGTTACTAAAGCCTGATTATATGGGGAAAATTCGATCCTACCTGATTGAGAGTAGGGTTTTTTACTGTTGGATTACAGTCACAAACACACACTGATATGAATGTGTGGTGTATGTACGAGTTTTCTTCGTTTTGGTTCAATCTGCCCAAGAGAAGTATTCACAGAATGTGATAGGCAAAGAGAGTAGAAAATAGTTCGTAAGTAGGATTTACTGCATTTGCACGTGTTTGATGTTTCATTCTGCAAGTTCACCTGATCGGAAAAAAACTGAACTGAAAAAATCCGATTTATATCTTTCAAGCAGAAACGAAATCATCATCCCCTTCTCAGTACAAACACATCACCACTTCATATAGAAAGCCTTCCCCCCCCTATTGATGATACCCAAAGTCTGCTNCACCAACAAAAACTTGCAAAAAATCCCAAAGCATCAACACTCCACCCCACACTGCTTGAGAATCGGCCCTGTCTGCTTCGGCAAGAAAGGGTCGATCCTCACCCAAACGAGCGAAAAAATCGACGCCAACAAAATCGACCAAAGAACAACAATCGTGGGGGTTCGGTTCTGCCTCCCCATCAACCCCTTCAAAAACGGGTACAAATGCACAATCACCCAAAACGCAAAGAACAACTTCCCGAAAAGCGGTCCCCACGACCCGTACCCGTTGTTTATAGCGTCTGAGACACCCGCCACTACACCAACCATGTTCAAGATTATGAGAGTTGTCGGGGGAATTAATAGAGTGGTCCATTTGAAGAGGTAGAGCTCGCCAAATTCAGCATCGTCAGCAGCTTTTGAGGTTACGGTGAAGTTAGTGTCGACACCGGCCAAGACTTTGAGGAGGCCTTGAAAGACGGCGAATAAGTGGGCGGAGACACCGCCGATGACCCAAAACTGCTCGTTTCGCCACCAGTCCTCGATGCTGACGCCCGACCAACGGAGCTCGAGAATGCCTGTGGCGATGATGGAGAGGAAGAGGGCTATGAACCATATGCTCGCAAGGTTGTTCAGCTGCGCCCATGAAGAAGAAGTCGAACTTATTTAAGCACAACTTTTTTTTTTTTCTTTTTTTTTTTATTTTATTTTTTGAAATCTGCAGCCAAGCCGGAGCTGGGATGTTTCGGGTTGTTAGTTATTGAAGCAATGTAGTGTGGGTCTAATCATAATTCATAAATGAGTCTGGTTGTATTTTTGAAATAGCAAATAAGGTAATATATAGAGGAGGAATTTTATCAAAATTGACTTGTGATTACCAATGTGATACCTTTACTTCGAATTTACTTCGAATTTAGGATGTGATTGGATATGGATTTGATTTTTTTTTTTAACCATAGTTGATTTTGAAAAAGGTGGTATGGTTAGTTGTTAGTGGGTATTTAAGTTTTAAATTAAAATATTATTTAAAATAAAATAATTAAAGTTGATTTGATTTAAAAGTAGGAGAAAAATGATTGGAAGTGATGGTTAGTTAAAATTATGCGAGTGGATGAACATTGAATTAAAGTTGATGTCATGTGTAAGAATGATTGNGCCAAATATGGCCTCTGATTCAGATTAGCAAAGATTTTGATTTTTCTATTTTTTGTTTCTCCAACAGGGTTTAATCATAAAGCATCATTTGACTGCACTCAATTTTTCCCCCCTGAAATTAATCCTTTTTAATAAAAATCTGGAGCCAAAAAAGAATACTTACAGTGGGGACAATAAATTTCCCGGTGAGAAGACAGACTGCCGGAAGTGTGCAGTAGGCAAGCAGAGCAATGGAAGTGAACGGGTACACTATGGTGTTAATATACGCGAACCTCTCCAGCCATTTTAGTTTCCCTCCAAAACCATACCAAAGCGGACAATGGCGACTCATAAAGATCTCGACCGAACCAAGTGCCCATCTCAGAACTTGGTGCAACCTGTCAGATAAATTAATGGGAGCTGACCCTTTGAAAGCAGGTCTCTTGGGAGAACAGTACACAGATCTCCATCCTCTGCAGTGCATCTTGAAGCCAGTCAAAATGTCTTCCGTGACTGACCCGTAAATCCATCCAATCTGTGGTTTTACACAAAATTTAGGAATAATTAGAGAAAAACTACCCGTAAAGGTTAATTTTACGGTAGTCAGTAATTGGTTTGTTTCCACTAACCTCCTTTCCCCACTCAGTTTTTTCTTCATAGCCACAGCTAATAACATGAATAGCTTCTTTGATCAGTGAAGTCGGGTTTGTCCCCTCAGGAAGACCACCATCTTCTTTGAGAGTCGAGGCAATGAAAACAGGTGACATTCCAAACCGTTTTTCGAAATTCTTTTGAGACATGAGTGAGGACTTGTCCAACTCATCGTACCCCTCGAAACCTTCTTCGATTTCCTCGAGATCAAAAGCAGGTGCGAATGATTTACGAGTGTACTGCTTGCCCATCATTTTCTTCTTCTTCTTGCCGTACAATTTTCCTAGCCCGAGTAAGGACTTGAGTCCTTTCTTCTTGTCCTTTGACTTTCTTGATCCTCCACAACAGCAGCAACACCATTTAGGCCAGCAATCGCAAGTCATCTTGGGCCGTTTTTCGGATGCAGGTGGGTCATAGCCGTACAAAGCCTGCCTGTTGAATACACAACCGGTGCCGACATATACGGGCCCTTGGATGCCATCTAGGCCTTTCATGTTGATCTATTGAAGAAGAAAAAAAAAAAAAAATCATTCATGGGCTATTTTGGAGATTGTAATAAAAATCAGGTTCAAGCCAATATCGACTCTATCCATCTAGTTAAGTTGCAGCACATGCAATTAGAGGATGTACCCCTTCTTTCTTTCTTTTTTTATTTTTTTTTTTATTATGTAAATTTGAAGTGGTCACAATATGCTATTCTTAGGTTGATAAGAAAAAAATCACTTACATCAAAGAAAACGACGTTGCGATTAGCATATCTATCATGCCGATCAATACCGTCAAATCTCTGAGGGAATTGGACATAGCAGAGCTTCTTGCCTACTTGGGGATCCATCAAAAAGCACATGGCTTCCCTCACAGCTTTGCTGTTATTGAGGTAATGATCACAATCCAGATTCAGAATGTAAGGCGCATTTGTAAGCACTGCAGAAACTCGGACCTGTTTGATCGTGCATGAATGGCAGCAGGTCCCATGTTATTAGGACATTAAATTAATCATGTAATTCGTCAAAAAAGTAAAAGAAGAAAGGTTTTAGTTTTGCGAGCTAACTTACGAGTGCATTCTCTGCACCAGCTTTCTTATGGTGCTGATAACCCGGCCGTTTTTCACGTGAGACATACACTAGCCGTGGGAGCTCCTTACCTTCAATATCAAGTGCCCCCTCACTTCCCAGATATACCTGCAACACAAGAAACTTGTTTAGTTATTCTACAAGAAAAAGCCAGTAAGCTTACATAAACAGAAAAAAAAAAATAATGGTATTAAAAAAATGCCCTAATTGAGTTTGCTTTACAAATTAAACCCTCCAAAATTGCAACTATTTATAATCAAGAGGAAAGAAAGATTTCAGGTCAAACCATAAGGATATACCAGCAGTTTGTAAATGTCCCTAATTTCATGAAAAAACTCCATTCTCCAATATTTTTTTGTTCTTATTTTAACCTGAATCATTCCAGGGTGATCACGAGTATTGTTCCCAGGCCACGGACTCCCGTCTTGCATCACCCATCCTTCTTCCGGCTTCTTCTGAGCCTTAGCCACCAATGCATTAATCCTCACCTTGAACTCTTCATATTCTCTCTGCNGAAAAAAAAATGAAAAAAAAAATGAAAAAAAAAAAGATATTCACTAATCACAACCATATAAAATTTCAACAAAATGCCAACAGAACACAAAACAAATCTCCAAACCCCCCGAACCTTCATAGCCCTTCTGTCCTTCACGAACGTAGTCTGCACTTTATCCTTCAAGTAATCGATCTTCTCCGAGAAGTAAAACTCGGGCGCCCTTGGCTCCACGCTGTACTTCTTACAAAACGGGACCCACTGCCTCGCGAATTCCGCTGTTTCGGACAGTGTATCAAACAGAAGCATGGAAGCCCCATCGTCCGACACATAGCAGCTCACCTTATTCACCGGATAATCAACGGCCAGGATCGAAAGAACCGTATTTGCAGTGATGATGGGTGGCTCCTTGAGTGGATCGACTGTGCTGACAAAGAAGTCAACAGGGCTTAGCCTGTCGGGCGAGCCCTCGCGCTCGAATCTCAAAGAGAGACGGTCGAGATAGGTCTCACGGTTAATGGGGCACCATTTGGGGAACTGATCGAGGATCCACGAAAGGCCGAACCAGATTTCGCATATGACGGATATAATCCAGAGAGGGTAAGCATCGCGGGCCGGGTTCAAGAGCCGGAAATGGAAGAAGAAGCAGAGGATTACGAAACGGATGACGATGACTATGCGGTAGGGACTGATGAGGCGAGATGGGATTGGGACCTTTCGCCACAGGGGCTGCCGAGCTTCAGCAGTGCTGGGGAAAATGAGATAGTGATGAATTTTGAATGATAACTAGAAAAAAGCTTGCTGCAAGTTTACTGTTTTAGTTATTTGGTTGCTGGTAAAGGTGAATATTCACTAATATAAATCGAAAAGTCCACACGGTTATATTGAGTCGATTAGTATTTGAAAAAACAAAAATCATGATATTAGTCATTGGTTTTCCGAAGACGAGAAAACAAAGTTAATATAAATACACATATCTGGCCAAGCTAGATGATTTGGGGACTAACTTAGATTGTGTATAAACATTCTCAAAGTGAAAATATTTCGTACAACCAACATATAACTTGAAGAATGTCGACACGAGAGCACAGATATCAGCTCCTGCTATGCGAACAGATTTCCAGCAACAAAATCGAGAATTGTATAGATAATTATAGGAAAAATTGCAACCCGCAGCATGAATTTTTCAAAAATCACACTTTTTTCACGACTTTATTTTCTTGGCAAACGGATACATGACCTTTTTATTTTTTGC